TCTCTCGAGTCCTGTACTGTGATAAGAGAAAGGATTTTCCACTGTAAAGTCAACTCATCCATCTGTGGATATTGTTGTCCAAGATGTGTTCAGAAGCAGAATTAAAATTATTAATTTTCTAAATGTATTTCGTACAGGGTCCACAGGGTGTCGCTGCACAGATCAGACTCAGTGATTCTCCTGTTTTCAGCCTCCCAAGTGCTGGGGTTATAGGTGTACGCCACCATGCCGTCTCAACTGCTGTGTCAGTGTGCCCTGGGGATAGGGCCAACACAGCTCACCTGGGATCAAACCCCTGTCCCTGCATCTGCCTAAGCAGGCACTTTAGTCCACTGAGCTATCTGGCTGGCCCTCAGAATTAAAATTATCAACTCCACCCTAGTTCATAGAAATCTGCCTTCTTCTGTGTCTGTAGGTTCGCGTCACTGTGTTTCCTTCGAAGACTGTGGCTCAGTATTCAGGAATCCCCTGGTGGATCATCCTTGTGGCTATTCTTGCTGGGATACTGGTGCTTGCTCTGTTAGTGATTATCCTCTGGAAGGTAAGTCATACCTGGCATTTCATTTCATGGTTTCTAAGATGTGAGTTAACACTGATAATATGACTTTCTTTTTCATTATTTTCTTTTCCTAACATTTTATCATAAAACTTTTCCAATATACAGTAAATAGAGAATTTTACAATGAATACATATATATCTACCTAACATTTTTTATTTAAAGGTGTTTTAGTTGTACATAAATTTCTTCAGTTCATGGACTGAGGAGATAGTTCAGTGGCACAGTGCCTGTCTGGCAAGTGCAATGTCCTGAGTTTGATTCCTGGTATTCCCCACTGCCCCTCATATTTTTTTCTTAGGTTCATACCTTTTGGTGCAGGGGACAGGGATTCGATCCCTGGGCTTGGCATGGTGGCACGCACCTGTAATGCCAGCTTTTGGGAGGCTGTAAACAGGTGGATCACTATGAGTCCAATCTAGTAGTGAGACCCTGAATGCCCTATAGACCCTTCCCTAAAAATGCAAAAAAAAGAAAAAAAAACATACCTTTTGGTTTATCTTGCTTATAGTTTAGAATGTTTGGCGAATGACAGATTTAAATTTTATGATTTCAGGGGCTGGGGAGATGGCTCAGTGGAATAAGCACTTCCCTGGCAAGCGCAAAG